ACTGATTCTTCCAATCCAAGAATACAGTGTATCTTTCCATCTGTTTGTGTCGTCTTCAATTTCTTTCATCACTGTCTTATAGTTTTCAGAGTACAGGTCTTTTGCCTCCTTAGGTAGGTTTACTTCTAGGTATTTTATTTTCTTTGGTGCGATGGTAAATGGGACTGTTTCCTTAATTCCTCTTTCTGATATGTTGTTGTTAGTGTATAGAAAACACGGTATATTAATTTTCTATCCTGCAACTTAACTGAATTCACTGATGAGCTCTAGTAGTTTTCTGGTGGCATCTTAGGATTTTCTATGTATAGTATCATGTCATCTGCAAACAGTGACAGTTTTACTTCTTCCTTTCCTATTTGGATTCATTTTATTTCTTTATTAAATAAATATTTTATTTCTTTATACCAAAAAGATTATACATCATGATCAAGTGGGATTTATCCCAGGAATGCAAGAATTCTTCAGTATCTGCAAATCAATCAATGTGATACATCACATTAACAAACTGAAGAATAAAAACCATATGTTCATCTCAATAGATGCATAAAAAGCTTTTGACAAAATTCAACACCCTTTTATGATAAAAACTCCTCAGAAAGCAGGCATAGAGGGAACACACCTCAACAAAATAAATTCCATATATGAAAACCTCACAGCTTTTCAACAGTGAAAAGCTGAAAGCATTTCCTCTAAGATCAGAAATAAGACAAGGATGCCCACTCTCGCCATTTTTATTCAACATAGTTTTGGAAGTTTTAGCCACAGCAATCAGAGAAGAAAAAGAAATAAAAGGAATCTATATAGGAAAGGAAGAAGTAAAACCATCACTGTTTGCAGATGACACGATAGTACATACATGTTTTAAATTTTAAACACAAAAATTCCAAGTGGTCACTCGTAATAAAGTACCTTGAGTTGTTACTTTAACTTTATAATCATTGAGCTATTGTTGCTTACTTCAAATCTGTTGTTTAAATGCAGGAATTATTACCTCAGGAGTTGGAGACAGAAACTGTGCTAGAAGACAGCTTGAACCACAACCAATTCACTTTTGAAATAAATGAGGTCTATATACAGAGAGAGCTGATTATATAATGGAGAATTCTCCAAATTAACTTCTATGTAGAAGACCTTTTTAAAAATAAGGGATAAGTAATTAAAATGTGCCAATCTGCAGCTAAGGTATATACATTATTAAAACTCAACAGTGACTGCAGCAATTGTTTACGATTTAGACCAGCATCAAGATTTGTCTAAGAGTACTGTATCACTAACATTGCTTGGAACAGCCAGATCTTGGTGATAATAGCAAGCAGGTTAATATTATTATTATCATTGTCACCATCTTTAAATTCTCAGAAAATTGATTGCCTGTACCTGGGAGGACTTCTCTCACCACCCAGCTTTAGTCCACCCTGGCATTAGGCCTCAAAGAATTTAAGTTTGGGAGCTAGCAGGCTATTAGTATCCTGTGTAAAGTATCCTTTAATGACTAGATAGGTTATCTTGCACCCTTCAGCATCAGTCATCTGCTGCTCTGCTTCTAGAGTTCCTGTCACTCTCCACTCTTCTCCTGGCTGTCTCATGGCTTCTGCTTACTACCTTACCTGACCATCTTTCAGCTTCTACCCCTACTGTGAACTGCTGTCTGAATATGTTTTCTTCCATTCCAGCCACCAAAAGAAGATCCAATAATAAGGCATTGTGTACCAGGCCCCCACAAGCTGTTAGGCAGTCTGTAGGGTGATTGCCTTTGAGCCAGACACCCAGTCCTGTGCAACCACTGATGGCAAGAGTGGCAGGGCCATGTGGTCAGTTTTCCTTAGGAGGAGTCTGGGCAAGGCAGGCATTCAGATTGGTTCCTCTCCAAAACACTTCTTTTTTTTCCCCTTTTTCTTTCTTCTTCCCTTTCCCAGCTCCTATGACTTCTTTGCTCTCTGGTTTCTCTCTTTACCTTTCCCCTCCTTCCTCTCTATGACAATCTCTTTCTCTCTCTCTCTCTCTCTCTCTCTCTATATATATATATATATATATATATACACACACACACACACACACACATACATACATACACACACACACACACACACACACAGATATGAAGCTTCACAAATTGATATTCACTGCCCACTCTGTAAAAATCTTAATTTTTTTCCTTTAGAGCATCAGGCCTTTTATGCTTAACTAAAAGCAGAAAAAAATTGGTTAACTTAACTCAACATCCTTTAAGCAATTCCAAATTGGCTTTTGGTCTTTATTATATCATGCTTTAAAATCTAATCCTTTAACCATTTATGAGTAAATTTTTCCCCCAAAAAAGTCATAATTTGTGAAACTTACTAAACAGTCTCTTTCAGTGTAAGCAGTAAACTTTCAGGAAGAGTGCTTTATTTGAGAAAAGAAGTGTCAGAACTTACTGCTCCAAAGCCCCTCTGAGAACTATTCATCGTTTTAGCATTTTAAAAGCTGTTTTGTTTTCATTTTTACTCCCACGTATTCTATTGGGTTGGCCAAAAAATTCGTTCAGGTTTTTCGTAAGATCTTATGGGAAAACCTGAATGAACTTTTTGGCCAGCCCAATACTTTGCTTTCTTTCCAGGTTGGAGGATATGATAGGGAGGAGTACCCACATTAAACATGATAAAGAAGAGCAGTGGAGAGATTATCAGCCCCACTCACACAGCAGGTTGATAGCACTGCCCTGATCAGCAGAGTTTCCTGTACTCCAATACCTCTTTCTATTTATTTTTTCTGAAAAGAAAATCAAATTTAACAAGAAAGCTTTATAAGAATTGTTTTAAAAACATCATCCTACCTTCCTAACATTAATTTCAAATTTTATATATCTCCTCCCACATGCATAAGAATTTTTACCTAGCTACAATTATAACCAGGGACACATTACTCTTTTATTTCCAGCAGAAGGTAAATTTTATATATCTCCTCCCACATGCATAAGAATTTTTACCTAGCTACAATTATAACTAGGGACACATTGCTCTTTTATTTCCAGCAGAAGGTGGACAAGAAGCTTTGCTGTGTGGCTGTAGGAAGGTGCCCAAACGCTTCTTCAATACTTTGTGCAATCTAGCTCCACACCACTATGTCTAACAGGTCACAAATATTTATCAATAACACACGGTCTAAGCTTTAGGAGTTCACAGCCTAGTGAGAGAGGAGACAACCTAATGTACTGTTGTTCTTCCAAATGGCCATTGCCAATCCCTTCACCTTTTCCTTCAGTCCGTCCAAAGCAGTAAGGACAGAAGAGACTATCAATCAGTCAACAGTCAGAGCCCTCTGAAAACCCCTGCAAACCCTTCCTTCCTGTCAATCAGGAGTTAATTCTAAGGACTTCAAGTTCTCCCCAACCCTGCCAGCTGTCAGAAGACATTTTTTTCTGATAAAGCCTCCACCCTCTCTGCAACTCTCCCTTTTCCACATTCTGGTCTCTCCCTGGGATGCCTCCCTGGCCCCTCCTCCTTTCTCATGGCACTTCTTGCTTTTCCCTCTACAGTGGGGCTTAGCCCACTGTAGTTTAAGGTTAGAAGCTAGCAGGCTATCAGTATCCTGTGTAAAGTATCCTTTAATGACTAGATAGGTTATCTTGCCACCCTTCAGCATCAGTCATCTGCTGCTCTGCTTCTCGAGTTCCTGCCACTCTCCACTCTTCTCCTGGCTACTACATCTTCCTTCAGTGTAGTACAGAGGTGAAACTCAACTACCTACAAGAGTCAGGCAGGACAGTTGGTGTTCCTTTGACTTTGTCTGCATATTAAGTATATGGGAACATTCTCTACTTTTACAAAGAAACATGCTCTACCTTGTTCCACCTTGAAACATATGGCCTTTAGTCAACCTTTAACTTTTACAATTTTTGCCAGAGATAGGGTTACATTAGGATGGGACTCATTTTCCTCCTAATTCTAACCTAAGAAAAATAACAGGGCAAGAGTGTGGTTAAACTGCCAATAGACAATGTCAGTAAGTGGTGGGGCATAGCTTGGAGTCAAATTAGTTTACAGATTAAATTATAGTAGCTTCACAGAGTTTTCCAGAGTGGCTAAGAAATTTTTCCAGTAATCTTACTACAAGTCCTTGTTCAGAGGAGAACTTAGAAAGTATGATTAGCATGCCCACACACAAAAACATCACTATGATGAAAACAAATCTTAGTATGTGAGTCACTTCTCTTAACACTGCCCTGTGCCTTTTTTAAGCCTGAGGAGCCCCACCCAGAGAATTTTTCATACCTTTGGACTCTAACAATCTGGGACCCTCCCCTCCCCCCAACCCTCCATCAGCATTTACGTTTTTATCGTAACTGTATGTACATCTGCTTTCCCTGTATGAGCAGAGACTGTATCTCTTCTCTGTATCACCAGGTCTGGCACAGTGCCTAGCAAACAGTTGGCAAAGCAAGGGTTATTGCATAACCTACTATCATCATCCAAATAATAGCTACCATTTCCAGAGCACTTACTATGTAAACTAAAATAGTTGTGGAAACAGATGCAGCTAATAACTGGTTGTTTTGGCCTCGAAGTTGGGAGCTCATCCCCAAAAAGGAACACTCTAGGCACAATGGCAGCAGTAACTACTTATAGTTTACCTACATTACCCTGGAGGCTTTCCCAGACCAGACCACCCAATAGAAGCAGCACCTCAGTTACCCTCTAGCACATAATCTTATTTTCTCTGAATAGGATTTACTACTGTCTAATATATTCTTGGTTAAATATGTATCCCTCACTATAATGAAAGCTCCAAGAGAACAGTCATCTTGGCTACCTTGTGCTTGGCACATAGAAAGTAAATAAATGAATCTAAACTTCCCACTTCCTTGGGTGGCAGAGTTGACTTGCACACAATAGATCACAATATGTTTTAAAATTTATATTTAAACTTCAGGATAATTGTGTTGAATATCTTATGGTTCATAATGAACTCTGGGAGTGGAATAAAAATAAAAGTTTGGTCACATTCCCCCAAGCACTTACTGATATGGGTGCTGGAATTTTTGCTGCAACAAGAAAGCCACTTCCTCTGACGCAAGGTGCCCCACATGCTTGGGTCTTGCCACATCCTCTGATACAGAAATCAGGATGGCTAGGCTGGCTGGGGCGCTCAGGATGCCAGACGCTCACACTAACAGAGCGGGGAGTGCAGGGGTCGCCAGAACCCTCTGCCAGGAGTCGCCCGTGAGTGGGTGTGGAGGAAGGTAGCAGCGGATTCGTGCGGCTCCTCAGGGCGGCTGTCCGCCTTGGGGCTCCCATTCCTACTGCGTTCCGCTTCCTTTACTTCCAAAGCCCAGAACGCACCCCCAAGCCTCCAAACGGCGACGTCACCGAGTCCCCTGTCACGTGAGGAGAGAATGATAGTGTCCACAGGCTCCCGGCAGGGCAGAGGCCTGGCGAGGTGCCGGACCCGGCCCAGGGCTGTCCTCCCCTAGCCCAGTCCCAGACTCCCGCCGGTTCCGGACTCTCGCTCCCGCCCACGCCAGCCGCGGCCCCGCCCACCCCGCCCACGGCCTGGCCCCGCCCCTTGTCCCGCCCATCGCTCCCGCCGCGACTCCGTCTATCTAGGCTTTCCTTTGGTCCCGCCCACCCCCGCCCCTCCCGTCCCGCCCCTGGAAGCCCCATTTATTCCGCCTCCCAGCACACACGCCGGAACCAGCCAGCTGGTGGTTGTCGCCGTTGCGCCTAGTCCTCCTACCGTGTCATCGCTGCCGCCATGCCCGGAGGGCTCCTTCTCGGGGACAAGGCTCCCAACTTCGAGGCCAATACTACCATCGGCCGCATCCGTTTCCACGACTATCTGGGAGACTCGTAAGTGGCCACCTCTTCACCCTATCCTGACCTCGGGTTACGCCCGGACTCAGGGGTGCCTTCCCTTGTTTCTCCCTTCCGTCCTCCTCACCGCTCAGCCCCCTGCTCGCCGCCCGCCTCCTCCCCGCACCAGTTCCTGCACGTGCCTCTCGTTGTGTGGCCTCTGCCCCGCGGCGGCCGAGCGCTGCTGGCTGGCCCCGACCCTCCGGCCCGCCCTCCGCCGGCCATTGGATCCTCTCTCGCCTTCCGTCCCCCGCGTGGCTGGGCCGGCTCCGGAGTGAGGAAGGGGGAGGGGAACAAAATTGGGACCGCGCAGGTCCCGGGTTCGGGAGGCTGGTGCGGAGGAGAGCTCGTCTGTTTGCCTCTGTTTGGTAAACTGTGCAAGTAGTATGGTCCAGCCGAAGTCCGGAGGGGGCAGGGGCCGGGCAGCATCGGCGGTCAGTTCCCCGGTACTCGTGCCCAGGGTCGCACCTCTTCCCTCCCTCCGTTCTGGAATTTGCTCCCTGGGGAAGGTTGGTGTCCAAAGCCAGAGTCAGAGGACACTGCTACTGGCTGAAGGTTCAGGAAGGGCCCAGCGTGTTATGTGAGGGTTCTACTTGCTGCAGTGGTATTTGCAGTCTTCTCAGCACAAAAAATTTGAAACCACCAGGTGCCAGATAGTGGCTGAAAGACTTTTTGCCCAGAACCTCCCCCAGCTGCTAGAATGTGATTTGATAACAGCTTTGGGAGGAACCCAGAACACTCTGTATGTGTGTGTGTCCTTCATTCCAGAACTTGCAACACCTTGAGGGAAGGGCTTTCTGAGGTTGTTCATGCCATGGATAGCCAAGCACCTGGACACCCGTACCTCCCCCTTTGAGACCCTTTTGTTTCACTGCAGAGTGCCTCTCACTGCCCCTTCCCCCTTCTGCCTTGCTTCCAGCCTCAGGTAGACTTGCCAAATTGGTGACCCATGATCTAGCCTGGCAATCATACCTTTATGACTAGGAGTATATTGGCGTTACTGTGGTTGTACAGCTCCTGAATCAGCGAACTTTAAGTTGATTAGATTTAATGTGAAATATCCCAGATGTGTCTAGTTACATTATAGTTCTGGAGTTCCAGTGGCCCCATTACACTGTGGTCTAAGGTGTTAGAATTCCTTCTTGCTTTGTATCCCTTTTATATACAGTGTCCAGGTACATATATTACAGACAGAGGGTGCAGTTTATGAGATTAATCAAGGATTGGACAGGCCTGTGCAGAGCACCTGGGAGAGATTCTTATACCTTAGGCCTAACCAACCCCTTACAGCCCCTTAAATCCATTTTCCAGCTACTGATTAAGGGAAGAGCTAAGTTTTTTGCAAGAGAGGACTAGGCTAGAGAAAGGATGAGAAATGGAACATTCAGGCAATAAAGGCCGGGAAAGAATTCAGAAATACCGACTATGCCCAGTCTCATACTCAGAATTTAGGTATTAGTATTTCTCCAAAACTCGATGGGATTTTCAGATAATGTTCCTTCCCATTCCTGCCTACAGCCCTCACCCTCATAAAACAAAATTTTCCCAGAACTCTTAGGTTGCAAATAAATATTAATATAAAGCATATTTACTGTAGCAATAGTTATAAATGATGTCACTATTTAAGCTAACCCTATTTGTTTGGGACTTTTTTGTTGTCATTTATTATCCTCGATCTATCTTAATTTGACTAAAAGTGGTACCTTCTCAGGGAGCCATAAGTAGGAAGATGAGAAAACTATCTGCATCTAAACAAAAATATACAAGTCTGCCTTGGGTCAGGCATGGGATAGTACTATTTCCTGCCCTACCCCGAAAATAAATTGAGCCCTTTATATCATTGTAATACATGGATTTTTGCCTAATATAATTTTTCCAAACTCCATTCTTAATGTGATTTCAATTCATACTATCAATTTTTGATCCAGGTGTGTTCTGGAGAAAATTAAAATAATTTCAAACGTTACAGGTTCTACCCTGCCCCTGACAACTGGAAACAACTAAGGGGTTTGGGTGCTGCATTTAGTGAGTTTATTGAGCCCAGTCACTGTTTCTGTATGTGTGGGGTATAAGCAGCTTCTTCACAGTACATCTTCACCAAACAAAACATGGGTTTTCCCTGGGTTTTCTGGGGCTTAGTGAGTGGGGACCCCTCCCTTAAATGAAGAAACCTTTTGTCTTTTGAAAATGAGGAAAAAGGAAAGGGGATAATGTAATTGTATTCCTCTGAAGAGCAGCAGTAGGGAGACTTAGAGGAGAGGCAGGCCACAGTAAGACATTCCCAGAGTTTATCCTGTTCCTAGCCATGTGGCAAACTAGAGTTTCGGCTTCTGGGAGAGGGGAGGATGTGAAGTGATCTCAAACGAGTTCCTTAACATGATTCAGCAATACAGTCTCCTGATTCACAATGGAAAGAGAATGCCTGATTTTTCTAATTAATCACCTCTTTAACAATACAGGAAGAAGTGCCCTGCTCATTTTTTCTCAAGTTCTGGAGACTTTCCTTAAGTCTCATCTGACCCTTAAACAGATCCTTTACCACAGACTCTAAGGCCTACATTTTACTCATAGCTAGCTTATTTCAAAACATACTTAATGTCTTATTGCCCTTTATCAAAAGTAAACATACCACACCCCTCCACAATCTTAAAAATATTACCTCTCTCTTCCCAGTCTTGCCATAGGGCCATCCATCCTTTTTGTAAGAAGGTCTTTTCCTTTCCTGAAACCTTGGGAGTTGAGTGGCAAATGTAGCCGGGAATTAGGTACCTTGTCTCTGCTTTCTTCTTTGTGCTTCAGAAAACTTGGCAATCTTTAGGGAAGTCAGCTTGGCTTCTAGGCTAGAGTTAGTCATCTACTAGTTTAGGATCCTGCTTTAATGTTGTTAAGTCAACAGGAGTGTGGAAACTGTGTGTTAGGTTTTCCTTTTCAGTCAAAAGAGTAGTTTCTGTTGCCCAGGAGAAGGAAACAGTACTCCAAAGTTCTTGGTGACTTTTAGCTTGAAATGTGCTTAAAACTTACAAGAATTTAACCTTAGGCAATGATGATTTAGATATTAGTATTTCCCTAAGAATCTGTAGTTGTAGAAATCGACATTGGAGGCTATCATTTTCTACCCACTTGGTCTAACGCAAAAAGAATAATAAACTGCAAATGAAGAGATAGGTAAAACTCTTAAAATGCTGTTGTTTGGTCAGGGTACAAATATTGGGTGTCCCATTTAGCAGGTTAGATCAGTAAACTAGTTTTACAGAAGTTTTTATATCTGTTCACTTCAAAGAACCAAGTGTCAGCTTTAATTTTACATATAAATAGAGGATAGAAGCCTATTTATTTCAGATTACATAATCTGTTTATTATTGTAGTCAGGCATTGGTCTAGATTCAGGGCATATTGGAACATCCATTACTGGAGGTGAATGTCAGCATATCTGTGCTTAGAAAAAAATGTAGAAAGAGTAAAAAGAAAAAAAATTATTTCAGTAAGTACTTGGTTTGAGTAGCACAGATTTTATTAGCTGAAAAGGACTCAGGGTGGCTCTAGAGTTATTAAAGGAGGCAGCATCCTTATAGTCTTTTTAAATATTTATCATGTTGAATTTCATATCTTTGATTGAATTGGGCTTTAAACATAGGCTTTTCTGGAGATAAGAAGATCAAAAAGCATTCCTCAACAGAAAAGTTTAAAAGTGATTGTCTTCATAAGCACTCATTTGAAAAAGAAAGTCATTTTTGATCTAGGATTTGTGATTTTTCATTGTACGTGATGCTGGTGATAATCTATTCATTCAACTGTGACCTTCTTTTCCTTCATTCAGATGGGGCATTCTCTTCTCCCACCCTCGGGACTTTACCCCAGTGTGTACCACGGAGCTTGGCAGAGCAGCAAAGCTGGCACCAGAATTTGCCAAGAGGAACGTTAAGATGATTGCCCTTTCAATAGACAGTGTTGAAGACCATCTTGCCTGGAGCAAGGTACAGTACCCGTTGGCATATGCTTTGAGGTTACAGATTAAGCTATAAATTTTATAGAGTAGCTTGGTTTTTTGAGGTGAAGGTACAAGTAAGGCTCAGATTCAGCCTTCACTGATTATTTGAAAGTCTGACTTGGACTGCACAGTGACCTCCACCTTGCTAAATCCAGTGGTCAGTTCTCAGCCCCCTTCTTTCTTGGCTTCCAGGACACCACTTCTCTAGCTGTTCCTGCTCATGTGCGGCATGAGCTTCCTCATCTCCCAGCTCCTAATACTGAATATATGCTGGAGTTGCCCTGGACTCACTTCTTGGACATCTTCTCTTTTTATCTACATTCTTCACCTTGGTAAACTCATCCACCCACATCTCTATGCTATGATTCCCAAATTTCCATCTCTAGGCCAGACTCTGCTGGCTTCCAGATTGGTGAAACCACCGCCTACAGCATCTCCCCTGGGATGTCCTATCACCTCAAATCCAGCATGTCTAAAACGGGACTCCTGTTCTTAATCCCGGGGGTCTTACTCATCTCAGCTAATGGCATCTGTATTTTTGTAGTTGCTCAGGCCAAAAATCCAGGAGTCATCCTTAATTCCTCTGGTGTTTTCACTTCACATGTCTGATTCATCAGCTAACTTGCCTGCTCTACCTTCAAAATATATCCAGAATCCTGTTTGGAAGACTCTTTCCCCAGGGATCTTTGTGGCTTGCCCTCACGCCTTTCAAGTCTCAACTCAAATGATACCCATTAAGGCCACCCTTGGCCTCCTTATCTAAAATTATAACTCCCCTCTGTACTCCCCATCCTCCCCTGATTTGTCTCCTTAGCACTTGTCACCGTCTAAAATACTCTGCACATTGCTGATTTCGTTTGTTTGTTTCTCCCCACCAGAGTGGAGGCTCAGCAGGGAAGACTCCTGTTTCGTGCACTGCTGGAACAGTGCCCAGTACTCAGGAACTCCTAGGCAGGCAGGCAGTCTGTATTTGTCAAATGAATGAACTGAAGGACCTGTGTACTCCCAACAAAAGGATTTACTTGGATAATAAACGTGGTGGTCTAGATTTAACTTGAGAACATTTTAATGACTTTGCTACAGTGTCTACTAAATAATGATAGGGAACTTTCAAAGGATGCTTACTGTGCACTAGGCACTATGTCGAGCACTTGACATGCAACTGAATATACGATGTAGTACTGACTTGTGAGCTGGCCACCTGGGCCTGCATCCCATGCCACTTTATACCAGTTAATTCTAAGTGTCTGAGATTAGAAGAATCATGTATAGGAGAAAAGGGAAGGCATTTCTCTTTCTTGAGGTGGATTGTTTTCATTCCTTACACTTGGCTGTGAATGGTCATTGGCATTTCCACAGTATCTCACAGGCAGTTTCTCGTTAGTTTCTGGGAGCAGCCCTGTAGGGGAGGTATATGGTTCCTGCTCCCAGCTCTTCAGATGAGAGTACTTTTTTCACCCAGGCAGTTGGAAGGACACACTAAAGACTTCCCTGCAAGAAAATGGTGGCAGTGGGATTTGAACCCCAAACTAATACTCTCTTTGATACTAGATGATAGAGAGTAGGAATTTGCTTGATTTTAGGATAAAGCCAAAGCATATTGTTCTTTGCTTTTCATGGGTGTAATGTAATGCCTATCATGCAAATGGCAGGGTTGAGAATTACTGCAGAGCAATCATTGCAAGTACAGGTGGCTGAAGGAAGAGTTTATAGCCAATTATATAATACCCTTCAAAGTATAGGAACACACCCAGGTTCATTTTCACTGGTGAGCTTGTGCCTTAGAATTTTCAAAATTGTGATTGCATTAAATAGGAAATAAGTCCCAACTTTCAGAAGCAGTGTCCAAACTTTGACACACAACTGGTTACGTAGGAAACCTCAAGGTGCCTCTAGTATGAAACCATATTGATTATTTTAGCTGTGGCGACCTGATAGACCGCCAGTGACGGCAGAAGGGAAGTTAAGCTAATAAAATTAAGAAACATGTTAAAATTTGTTGTTATCCATTTCAGAGTTCATGAATGCCACTTTTATCCTATGGCATCTCTGTTGAGAAATCCACAAAGGTTCATATCTGCTATGCCATCAACTCCTGTTTTACTTTCAAGGCTCCACATAATAAATCGACCTTATTCCAGCTTTAACGCCTCTTTTTCACTACTTCCTAAAACTCTACCCAGATAAATTCCTCTTTCGCCAGTCAACAGTTTATGCTCAGACTTGCCTACATGTTTCAGTAACATTGCTCCCCCTCCCTGGAATGCCTTCTCTTGCCCTGTGAAAATCTTATCCACCCTGCAAAGGCCCAGGAAAAAGTCATATGCCTTTCTTGAAGTCTCTCCTAACTCCGGCAGTCTTACAAATGGGGATGCTGGTGTACTTCAGCATTTGCCATTTACATATTACCGTCTTGCGTTTGTTGCTACTTCTTACGTAAATCATCCAACTAAATTAGAAGTTCCTTTAAAGGCAGGAACCGTGTCTTCCTCATTTGCATCCCACACGTACTTACCATAACACTTAGCCCACCTTAAGTGCAATGTCAACACCAGATCAAATAACGAAGCTAGATTTTTTTTTTTCCCCCAAAACTTCCCAGAATAGAAAAATGGATGAAGTTTTTAACTAGGGGAGGAAGGGATAGAGAGTGGAAGCAAGTACATTATTGTCCTTTAGTTCAGACTTGGAATGCTTTGTTTTTATGTGGATTTCACCCTAGTGTAAATTCACCTCTGCCTTTTCACACATTTTTACCTTTGACTTGTCCTTGAAGTGAATATTCAACTCTCCATTCTTGTGTTTGCTTTAAGTTTTGTGTTTTCTTTTCATGTCTTAATATCTTCGTTACAGTAGCTTAATGTCTGAGTCAGGGTGCTTTTGAGGCAGGGGCCAGATCTATAAAATTATCTTTGCATGTGCTTTAATTTCTGGATGTGGACTCATTGCTACTGATGGTTTTTATAGTATTTGGGTACGCATAGGTACCCTGGATTGAAGTCTAACTCTATATTATTCAACTTTTAATGCTGCTTTCTCAGAGCAGTAAACGCATGCTGAATTTTAAGAGACTTGGGCATGAGAAGGCTCTAGGTTATAACCTAAGTACTACACCCTACCGTTATTCCTGTCAATGAGCAATTGGGATGAGGAGTAGTGTTCATGCATTAATTTTCTTATTAAAATTGCTTAGAGAAATTATGATGATTATGGTCCTCTCTTCCCTGTCTTACAAGACAATGACTGTTAACTGATTGAATTCAGAGGATATGCCTGGTTTAGTTTCCTCTTTTCTCTCTCCCCTGCATTTCAGGATATCAATGCTTACAATGGTGATGAGCCCACAGAAAAGTTACCTTTTCCCATCATTGATGATAAGAATCGGGACCTTGCCATCCAGTTGGGCATGCTGGACCCAGCAGAGAAGGACGAAAAGGGCATGCCTGTAACAGCTCGTGTGGTGAGTTGTATACATCCATTACATAGTCATTGTGACTGACCAGGCTACATATGTCCAAGTAAATGCTTGGACCAACTAAAGGAAATGGGGGACTATGTCCAATTAGGATATAAGTGTCCTGGTGGCACTCTCACTTCTTATCTAAATGCTGGTACAAAGTAAAATTTTTCAGCTAAACTTCTAAACTGCTTAATTCACAGCTTTTGAAAATACATAAAAATAGTTATCCTAGGGCTTCCCTGGTGGCGCAGTGGTTGAGAGTCCGCCTGTCAATGCGGGGGACACGAGTTCGTGCCCCGGTCTGGGAAGATCCCACATGCCGCGGAGCGGCTGGGCCTGTGAGCCATGGCCGCTGGGCCTGCGTGTCCGGAGCCTGTGCTCCGCAATGGGAGAGGCCACAGCAGTGAGAGAGAGGCCCGTGTACCACAAAAAAAAAAAAAAAAAAAAAAAAAAATAGTTATCCTAGGATGTCACCTAAAATTGAGAAATCTTTTTCTGTAGTCCTCCTGACAGCCCACTCTTTAAGGCGGTGGGTCATAGCCTTCTTCGTAAGGCATCCCTGGTTTTGAATTCTTATTTGTTCTGTCCTTACCCACTAGGGAACAAACTTATTCCCACATCTGCAAAAATATACAACAATTTGAGGACCAGGATCAACTCCCATTAGTATTATTTTTATGATAATCTTCTGTAGTTAACATAGTACCTTCCTGAGGCCTTTCCTGGATTCAGTTCGCAAATCAGTGTTTCTTACTGAGACAGCCAGAGCCAAATATAATTTCCTTCAAGTTTAGAAATATAACGTGGAGAAGAAAATCATGTCTACTCCAGCCACCCGGTTTGTTTGGTGTATCTTTCTAGATATTTGCAGATTTCTGTTGTTGTTTTGTTTTGAACATTTTTAATGACTTAAGAGCCTTCTGAGAGGCTTTAGTATCAAAAACATTCAAAGAGTTCTTTCTTCCTGTTTATGTGTCTATGTGCTTTGCAGGTATTTGTTTTTGGTCCTGATAAGAAGCTAAAACTGTCCATCCTCTACCCGGCTACCACTGGCAGGAACTTTGATGAGATTCTCCGAGTAATTATCTCTCTGCAGCTGACAGCAGAAAAGAGGGTTGCCACGCCAGTTGATTGGAAGGTAAAGATGTTAAAAGGGCAGATACCCAGCGTGCCTGGAAGGCCTGTGGGGCCAGTCTCTCAGTGGCTACCTCCAGGGTCAGTGTTACGTGGGGCTCTTGTTTCTGGCATGCAAGTACACTGGGAGGGCTTTTCCTCCTGGCTGAGTTTAAGATTTGCTGAGAGGCCATTTTCAGGGTCTTTAACCCCTTTTATACAAACTCCCTGTATTTCTAACTTTTAGATTATTTGGACAGATTAATTGGTCAGAATCATTCCTTTTCCTAGTAAAAGGATTTTTTAAAAAACCTTTAACTCTTCCCTGATGGCAAAATATTTATAGCAGAACCTAGACTGGCCACTTAAGTCGTGGGTATAAACCTATGTGGTGTATTAATGTCTTGAAACATTTCATTTCTCTTAAGCTTCAGTCTTTTAAACCTATGTAGAATTCTCTGAAACCTGTTCATGAACTTTTAATCTCTAAGATTCCTGACATATGTAGGACATGGATAATATCACAAGACTGTCTTAACATTGCTACATTTTTTTAATATGCTAACCTGAACACCTGGTTTTGTTATTTTGTTTCTTCTGACAGGCAAACCATTTATATTCTGTTTCCATTCTTTGACCATATGTTTATTGAGTGCAGACAGTAGACACTGGGATGCAGCAATGAACAATCAGTGTAAAGTCCCTGCCCTCATAGAACTTAAATTCCAGTTGGTAGAGACAAACAATAAACAAGTTTATAGTATATTAGGTAACGATAAGTACGACAGAGAGTAATCAAGGAGAGGTGGGGAGAAGGGGAGCACAGGTGGGAGGGTTGGTTTTATATTTGGCTGTCAAGAAAGGCCCTTCTCTGAAGGGACCTTTGGGAAGGACGTGAAAGAAGTGAGAGACCAAGTCACGCATATTTAGGAGGGAAGAGCACGGCAGGCTTGAAGGAACAGCTAAGAAGCTTTTCTAATAGTGAGCTTGGCATGTTCAAGGAATAGGAGAGCCACCGTGCTGGAAAAGCAGCAGCAGGAGGTGGGGGGAGAGGCCGGGGATGGGAGAGGAAGCCAGATTCAGTCACGCAGGGCAATGATAAGGACTTAGGTGGCAAGCCATTACTAGATTTAAAACAGGACTATTTCTTGTTAAGGTGGGGAAATACTTCCCTTCCCAAAGTGTCAAAGATCAACTTGCGAAAACAAAATTCCTCAGAGGGGATAGAGCAAAGGAGATTTGATTATTCTCATCAGCAACTGCAGCTACTTTTCTGAAGTTAATTATTGCCTTTAGCCTTCACTATAAGATTGAATTTCACCATTCACAATGTCTTTTCAATAGAATGGAGACAGCGTGATGGTCCTTCCAACCATCCCTGAAGAGGAAGCCAAAAAAATTTTCCCTAAAGGAGTCTTCACCAAAGAGCTCCCATCTGGCAAGAAATACCTCCGCTACACCCCCCAGCCATAGGCTGGCTCTCCACAGAGTTGGTGCTGGAGCTGCTCACTGAGCACCGTGAGCCAGAGGATGCCAGCTGCCCATCATGTTTTCCTGCAGCAGTACCATAAAAACATCCTGGTGTGATCACAGCCAAGGTCTTTAGGTTGCTATACTACTGGCTTATTAAATGAAAATGGCACTACAAATTCCTTGGGATTCTTTGCTCTGTGCCTTTAGCAGCATTCTCTTCTGTTCATATATCTTAATATTCTCTGCTGACTCTCTTTGAAATCTGAGGCTCATCCTGTTGGATCTCTGCAGGGTTTATGACCAACAAGGTGGTATCAGTTTATGGTTGAAAAAGCCTGCTTTGCTCCATCATAGAATGAGTATCAGGTTTTTTCAGCTGTTCTAATCAAATCCTCTCTTCTGTTACCCATTTTGGGAAGGAATAGAACTTGGGGTTCAGCTTCCTCTGTACATACCTACATATGTAACCTAAGAACTGAGTAACCCAGATGTTCTTCAATATTTCATGTTTTGATCACAACTGGGGGCAAAACCTTTTCGATTCTGTAATTTTCCAGTAGATAACTGAAGGATGAGCAGGGGGAAGGAATCTTTAAGTATTTTGCTATCAAGAAAATTTTTCAATAAATTTCTATTGAAAGTGGGAAGCTACAGAAAAGGTTCCACTTGCCTGCCAGGGAGGTGTACCAGAGGCATGAGCAACACGACAGTGCCAGGTGCCTTTCAGAGTATTTCTGGATGCCAGTTGGCTCTACGATGAAGTGCACATGAAAGGGCACACCTTGGGAAGAGGGGAGAGGGTGACTGAAAATGTTTTATTATAGATTTATTCTTGCAGTGGGGGAGGGGGACTATTTTCTGAATTTTACTTCTTAGTGATCAGCAAGTAAATCCTTTGTTAAAACGTGATCAGAAAATTCTGTTGTCACATTTTCAAGTACTAGTTCGGACTCATGTCCTGAGGGCAAATGTTTCCTTGCTAGATTTGACATGCTCTTCTCCAAAGACAGACACATAAAATTTCATATAATGAAAATGGAGGAGCGGCTGATGAAGATGTGATTCCAGGGACTTCCCTGGTGGTCCAGTGGTTAAGACTCCGCGCTTCCACTGCAGGGGGCACGGGTTTGATCCCGGGTCGGGGAACCAAGATCTCACGTGCTGCCCAGTGCGGCCAAAAATAAAGTAAAATAAAATGTGTTTCCTTTGCTTTGTAAAACAAAATAGAAAAGAAAATGTATTCCACCCCATCTCTTGGCCTACTTTGCTTCTTCATGTTACTTGCCTGGGTCCTGTGGAATTTGTGACCCCCACTACAAAGAACTCTCCTAACCTGATACCTTAAAGGGATTCCTAGATTTAAGAATATGAATCTTGAGGATAATGGGACATCTTTTGCTTTTCTGGAAAGAGCGCTAAGTATTCTGAACTCATAGTCTCTCAGACTTATTATGCTGTGCTAAGTCCTAGGTTTAGAAGGAAGTGTCCCATACCTGGTATAGTCTCTTGCATGTAGCCCTCTATACTTTTACTGAGTATAATAATGTAAAAGCTGATCCCTGGTGCCATGTTTCAGAGAAGTCAGTACGCTTTCAGTTGCCTTGATTTCTGCACATGTAAAATTTGGGTGACACTAAGAAGGTTGAGAAGGAAGGTGGAAATTCCAAGTTACCTATCCTGGTGAATGCTGGTCTGAAAGAGACTTAAAGGACTGGCATCTTGCTGTCATCTCTTATCCAAGTCACTATATGTTTTGGCCTTAAAGAACTAAGACTATCTGGTTCTCCTTAGCACATCTCTTCTGAACTAATCCCTGAATCCTCGCATTCTGTCACCTCCCTAACTGTGAGGTTCCGCACTGCTGTCTTCCCTTGGCTATTTGCCTTCTTCAGCCCTTGTCTCTCGGAGAGTCTCGCCTCAACTTTCTTTTATGGTGACAATTCAAAGTCTAAGTCTCCAACATTAATTATTCAAACTTGAGTCTTATCTTTACTGATCGATGGAACATTGGCCATTGAATTTATAAATTCAAAATCAAATTATCAGTTCTTCCCCCAATAAATCTATTGCCCCTTTTATCACTCACTCAGGCACCCAAACTTTGGTGGGCTATATCTACTCGACCCACATAGGTGCTGCCACTGTGAAAACGCTGAAAAGCTCAAGGAAAAGGGAGGTCATGTACCCGCAAAATGATCTCTGGTTCTATTATGAAGCAGCCATGAAGCCATAAGACTGTGAAAGTATTCTTCTCCAAATATAAAATGTTACATAATGAATATGCATTGCCATAGTATAGTATAGTATATTCTTAATATACTATGGGGCTTAGAGAGGAGAGTTCCCCTTTCCAGGATTGTTGCTCTGTTTTCATAGGGAGAACAGATTTAATAAATCCGAAGATTTATTAACTGTAAGTGAATTATACAGCCACTGTGGCTATGAGAGAAGCATAGGAATTTGAGAGGCAGTCCACCATGTGCCTTCTCAGACAATCAGCAAATGTTCTGGCTAGAAGAGATGGTCATCTAAGATTAGCAAAGTGATCAACTTGAGGCTCCTGTGTGGTCTTGCCAGAAGTCTGACCTCCCCTCCAACCTCTACCCTAAGGGTAGGAATATGCATTAAGAAGCTCAGGAAAGGGTAAGGAGCCAGAATGGCTGTGTCTAAAGGGCCAAGTCAAGATGCCAATTGGATGCAGTGAACTGGCACAGTGATTTACTCCATTTGACCCCTCCACTTTGGGGCAATGCAAATTGAGGAAGTACAGCTTTGATTCAAGCTTAAAGGGTGCATTAACTAGTTAAGAGGTCATTGCCACCTTCTCAGTGATTGGTTCAGAAATGGGCATTGAGACACAAATAGAAGACCAACAAAGCTTCTGCAAGAATTCTTTCTCACACGAGAGCTACTGGGAGGCATTTTTCTCTCTCACACTGAATATGGACAAGAAAACATTAAACTGCTGCTGGCAGCCATGTTACAGCCTGGGAGCAGGGATCCAGCCATAGAATGAGGCTGTAAAGGTCAACAGCCAAGTGGAGAGAAAGAAAAACATCTGATTCTTTATGATCTTCACTGAATCTGCCAACTGTGAACCTGTCCTACCTCTGGACTTCTATTACATGAAATAATAAATAACCTTAGTGTTTAAGCTTTTTTGAGTTGGGTTTTCTGGTACCTGAGGCCAAAAGCATCCTAACTGATATGCATGGAATGAAGTATCCTCTAGCTGTTTCAAATACATGGCAGTGTGCCTCCTAAGCAAGATTGTAGAGCAGACATCTGTTTTCTGCTACTTCTTTATCCCCTACCTTAGGCATCTCAAGCTTCAGTATGCACTAAACCACATGAGGAATGGGTTAAAATGTGCAGGCCAGGGGCCTACCCCCAGAGATGGATTCTACAGATGGCCAGAAGTTCTTCATCTGTAACAACCCTATACCAGGTATGGGATTGTGATGCAGAGTACAGCAGACACTGCAGTTCACCCAATATCCATTTCCCCTTATTCTTTACGAAAAATACCCAGATTGTATTAATGGTGGCAAGTTGAGGTGCCAGTTAAAATTCATCTTAAGATGACAGATCAGTGTGGTCATGTGATAGTGCTGGCCTGGGATGGGGTCCCTTCCTGACTAAAAGGCAAAGCCTAATAAAGAGAAAGCACCTTGCCTCACTGAAAAGCAAATGGGATGCCCAAGTTACAGATGTCATTTTGCCACCCTGAGGATAAAAGTCACAGGCCAAGGATGAAGGAGAAGGAGGCTACAAGGAGACTGGGTCTGTGATAACTTCCTTAAACAGCCAGGCAGTCCTGTGGGTCTGTAATGTGCAGCCACACCTGACATTTGTTGACACACAGGTGCTCCGCAGGCCACTCTGAGAAATACTGCCCTATTCTAGGTATCCAGAACGTTCGTAAAAGGCTTGACTTTTTCTCTTATGTTTCCTTCTATTCTTCTATTATGGTTTTCCCTGGAGTAGAGAATCATTACTATTTTTTTGTAACTCTTTATTTTATACTGGAGTAGATTCTTTTAAAATCTTGTTGAAATGAAAAGGAATAATAGATTCTAAGTAAACAGTCAGATCATAAAATTCTATTTTATTTGACTTTTTAAAATAAAATGAAAAGTGATATCAAACAGTACTATGCAATGTAAGATTGTTAACTTCTCCTAAACTGTGCTTTCAATAACTAAAGTTATGGAACCTATTCCGTTTTTCAATATTTACTAAATTGGGGACGGGGGAAATAATTTTACTCTGAAAAACATTAGGGAGGCACTAATTGTAGCAATATCACAAATCAAAATTATAGGTCCTATGCTTTAGATAGTAGTATGTTAATTGTACAGTGCTTTTGATAACTCCTGCTCTATTATAACTTGCTCTCAGCTGGATGCAGGATTTCATTTGCTAGGCCATAAGCTTTAGGATATCTTATATTATCCTGAGGAATTGTGAACATCTTAAATATAATGCAACTACTTAGAATTAGAGCTTTTGCAGCAGTCCATCAATTGCTTGTAAAATAAATGCAGCAGTAAATTGTTTTAGCAACTTCTAAGTAAACTCCTTGCCAGACAATCTTTCAGCACTTGAGTCAGGATATTAGCTCGGTCTTTAACCTGACTCCAGGTATCACATAAGTGCCATTAACGTCCTTTTCTAAAATGGTATCCAGTTTCCAACTATAAAAGAAAGTCAAAAGTAAAATATTTGACTATGAGCATTTCAGAAAAAAACTTAAGTGCAATCAGAAAACTTACTGAAAAGTTTCCATTATCTGGAACACTCCCTTTAAAACATCTTACATATTAAGGACTCTGAGTAAGTACATGTGCAACTCTATACCATCAAACATCATCTTGTAAAGAGAGATACATTAATTCAATTAGAGTAGTGTATCAAAGGCGCACTTAAAGAGCAATGTTAGGAGAGTTGAATTCCAGTTAACTTTGTGACTGAGTGCAAGGGAAGCTGGAGACTTCTTTCCTAAATTGGAATGAGCATTTTTTTAATAATGGGGCCTGGAAAAGACAGCGGCAAGTGAGGAGCCAAATCACTAGACTCCCAGTGAGGTTCCCCATTTGTGAAATAGGGTCCCTTTAAGAAAGGAGAGGATGGCCGAGGAAGACCGCCTAAAAAGATTTAAATTGCTTTGTTTAAAGGAACAAAGAGCTGTCAGTTTGGTCAATGCCACTGTCCTTCCCCCAACAAACACACTGCAAACCACCGTGATTGTCATAAATAATAGTGGCAGGACCAGAATTTCTATTAGGAGGGTCTTAGGGTGGCTATCTGGTTGGGGATGTGATGGGCCAAGGGACTTCTCGTGAAGCTGCCTTTACACAGCACATCACTTTTCCTTAGAAGACGTGTATTTGGAGTGACTTGGCAACTGGGGGAGGAAGGGTGCTGAAGGCCCCTGAAGCCCATTCTTGGCACCGTTACTGCTACCGGGCCTACTTCTGCATTTGCCTATCGCCTATTGCTCTGTCAGAACTGTCTTCTCCTCCACCCCACTCAGCAGTGGGCTCTGGCCCAAGGGAACTCTGTTAGGGGCCTTCACAGAGACACCCCCCACCCTTGCAGGCTACCCTTCTCCCCACCAGATTTGCCTCTACCAGCCCTCTCCCTCCCCAACTCTAGGCCTGGCTTCCAGCACTTCTCAGACTTTTCTAAATTAGCTCTGATTGCTGAGGAAACTAGGAAAAAATGTCAGGGCAACACATAAGTGACTCTCCATAATAAAATGTTTTGAGGTCTCTTGTTTCATCTTAAATTCACACAAATTTGTCATCCTACTCCATAGTGTGTTTGTTTCAATATAAAATATTTTAAGTAACCTAACAGCAAAATGAGTTAACTTCTCCCTTTGAAAGACTGTCAAATAAAATTGATACCCTAGGAAGATGCCCGTGATCTACCTGTGCGCCACCCCACCCCCACCCCCACCCCCCACCCCTGCCAGAGAGACCCACACATCCATGGGAATGCGCAGTCCAAAGAGAGAAGCATCCATATTTACATACTAATGTCTAACTGTGTGTGTGGTGAATGGCCCTCCCCATCCTTAATCCCAGATAGCCCTACTTTTGAACTAAATATCAGGGGGGAAGGGAGTTAGGAGGGGGGAAATTGGGAGGGGGGCTAGGGCAAAATTACAGTTTTCAAAAATATTCTATAATTTTAATTGTTAAGTAATTCAGGTGAACTTTAATCCCAATTTTCCCATATTAACGAGCTGCCATTTTTCTCACCACCTACATGTTGCTACTTGACTTTACAATTTATTTTCGCTGTGTAGTTTAATATTCACAGTAAGAAAAATCTAATCAAAGTGTCAAGTTTATTACCTCATTTTTCCTCTTCCAGTGATAGTCTCTCTTGGTCATTCCAAGACCAGTGTTGACTGAGCCAATCCAAATAAATGCATTAAACAGAAAAACTAAATTAGGAATTTAAGAGTATAGGTAGCAGGAGGATATTTTGAAATTTCAACTTACTTTCTCCCTGTAAGTGTCGCCTTTCTCTTCTCCCCTTTCAAACAGGCTTTTTACTTTTTTCCCCTCAAGGACATTTGTTACTAGGCTCCCAAAAGTCCAATACAAGGGCTGGCAAACCCAAATGAGAAGAGGCAGGTCACACAAACAAAATGGTTTGGATATAACACAAGAGGGAGTGGACTGAGGCAAACCGTAGAGCATCTGCTTCCCCTGTAGGAGCCAGAGGTGCTCAGCTCTGTCTGATTGTTGCCACACATAGATATGAGGACCGAGGGTTGGCAGACTTTCTGATTTTTTTTTCAAGAAAAGCTCAAAATCTGGATTTTTTTAAATGTGAAATTTCTGGATGTTTACATATTTGACAATTTTAAAAGAAAACATGTATGTGGGCCAAATCCAGTGTACTGGCTGGATCAAGTCCATGGGCCTACCATTTGTGACTTTCCTCCCAAACACATCGTGGAATGCAGAGTGATATATATTTCCCTCACTCTAAAATAGCCCTCAGGGTGCCCTAAGGGGGCTGACATTAGACCCTGAGCTCCCAGCCTTGCCATACACTCCTGTGCCCCAAGAGTGCTGGGGAAGTAGCAAAGTGGCAGACCTAAAGACACTGTGAAGGCTGGGGTGATGGTCACCTCAGTGTTAGCCAACTTGGACAGGAGACCCAGGAGCAGAGGGAGCTCCCAATATCATGGTGCTGCGTATGACCCCCAGAACAGGGCATGCAAAGTGAGCTGTAAGAATGTCTGAGGTTGAATTTGCTTCTAGGGGAGAAGTGAAATTACTTCTTGAATATCTCTCCTCCTGACAAGGGTAGAGGCCTTGTTCGCTCACTCACCAACTAGTGCTTTGCACAGTGCCCAGCAGCATACTGTGGGGCTGCATTTTATAAGAATTATGCAAATGAGTAACACTGAGATGTAAACTATTGATAAAATGTGCCCTTTATGCACACAATTTGAAATCACATAACCACCTCCCCCACAAATTAACAATTCATTAAGAATGCCTGGGCTAGCAGGTTACATGAATTGTAAGCACTGGGATGGTGCTAATTAGAGGAGCAAATCAAGGTTGATTGTGTTTTCAAGCTGGGGTAGCTGGGAAAATGGTGACACTAGGCTTGGTAAGGCAGGATGCTGAGCACTGAGTGAAAGATCTTGAATGTATTTTCCCTACAGCAAGGCCTTCCTATCTAGTCTTCTTTATAGTATGCTTAGCACCATGATATAAGCAATTGGGTACTAATATGCATTTAGTGACAATAATTACTTAGTGACTATCAAAGTGCACCTCAAAGCAAGTCACCTGAATTGTGGCTATGACCGTGGCTTTCAATGAGCATGGGTCAGATTCTATATTCCCTTTGGTCGTTGAGAGAAAACCGGCTCCCACACCTGGGCCTGCTATGTGAGTCTATCCCCTCCCCATTCCTGCTCTGCCCCCAACAGCACTACGGGGCTCCAGCCTACAGGATCAGAGTACAAGGTAGAAGCTGCTGTCCTCCCACAAGGTTGTGGAGGGAAAGGCACGAGAGAGAGTAAGAGCCACCTGGATTTCAGTGTCTGGAAGTCTCCGATATGTGACCTCCCAGAAGCAATGTGGCAGCCAGGGAGGGCCCAAGAATGGAGATGGATGATAAACCCACACAACACCCTCAAACCATTTTCTTAGAATATCAATCTTACATGTAACAAAATTCCTTCTCAGTGATTTTCTTACCACTAAAGGGCTACCCCTTACCCATGACCTTGGCATTATTATTATTTTCGGCAGGCGCAGGTGCTTGGATAACCAGCAGCTTGCTTAAATCTGAAGTTCCCTCCACCTAAAGGAGAAAAGTCAAAATTAGTCAAAAGAGCATTCTTTGATCTCTAAGATGGCTGCTTCCTAACCTTTCCAAAGAATATAAGAAATAAGCCAAAACCTAGAACTCAGCCTCCAACCTAAGCTCTATCTTTCTCATTTCAAATCCTCTTTAACCTTGTTTCAAAAAGTCTTGGACCAGGAGGTTATCTTTTGGATATTTGTAAACATCAGAAAGGAAATTTCTACACCTTACTTGGAACGAATTTGGAAAATGGAATCCCCAGCATCCACTGAGTTACTTTTATTCCGACACTGACATTCAAGGGCTCAGGGCCCAGCCTTCCCAGATAGGAAAAAGAGCTCTCTTCCTCAAACTTTTGCCCCATGTGCCACAGAATCTGCCCTCCCAGAATGCAAGGAGCATACATAAGTAACAATTATAACTATCAATAATTTCTAGATATTATCACATATTATCTCATTGAATCCCCACAAGAACCTTATGAGACGACTGCTGCTATTATCCTCATCTTACTAAGAGGAAACTGAGGGTCAGAAGGCACCTTTCCTCTGCTCACACACCTAGTGGGCACAGGTGTCAGGTTTTAAATCCAAGTATGCCTGACTCCTAACTCTAGTGTCTTAAACTAAACTGTGGGATTGCTCCCACTGTTCCCCACCCCTTGTTTCAAAGCTAAATTTTCATTTTCTGTTTAAAAAAAACATTTAAATTACCTTCACCCTCTGAATTGTTGAGAGGTTGACAAAATAACGTTGGTTAGGAAAGTGGTAAATGCACTTTTTAGGAGATTTACCAACTTTTCCAGGACGTAAAATTTCATTAAATTAGTGAACGTTCCCAGCCTGAACAAGCAGAAAGGGTCTCTCCCAAACTTTTTACCAGATTAAAGAGATGTCAAGCTCTTTTCATGGCCTCTTGGTCCTCCTCATTCTTGGGCTCTGTCCTCACATCACTCCTGTGATCCTACAGCATGGCTTGGCCCAGTAGGGACCTGGCTTCTACTCTTCCCATCCCCTGTTTTGTCCCAGGTGTTCACACTTCCCCCTTCCTTACAGAGGCGTGGAATGATGAGGCCCAGGGCCCTCTATCAAGTTGTGTCCCTAGCCCCTAATGTGTCAGCAAAGTGACATGGCCCCAATGCATCTCCCTTCTTATCAGCCAGCGCAGATAACTTCCAGAGCCATGCTAGCAAGCAGTGTCATTGCCTTGGCGTGAACTAGGAAAAGTGTACCCCATCCTTCCGCTGTGGACGCACAGCCCATGCCAGGACAAACAGCTTGGCAAGTAGAGAGCAGGCAGATTCCTGCCCCCCTTGTCCCTCAGTGACACTCTTGTGCGGGGCACAACTTGTACAACAGTACACAGAAGCCCTGGGTACATTTCGACTGTTTTGTTAAGGGCAGGTGAGAACTATAGGGTCTTTCTAGGTTAAATTTCTCTTTAAGGTGGTTGGTTGAGTTTTAAAGTCACTTATGGGGCACAATGAAAAGCAAATGACTCTTTAGAAATGATCCTCCTTACCTGTTCACAGGTTTTAGGTAAAATGCAAGGTGCAAGATATGGTACCTCTGTCTTAGTATCAATAACACTGCCGTATACAAGAATAACGAATTTCATGTTCACATTATCAATAGTCATTTCGTTATAGCTTGATAAAGTCTCCACATATGCATGATTGAGGGCCACGCACTTCTGAAACTTTAAGTCCTAAAATAAAATGAGATTTTGTCCTATAAATCATACAAAATGACACACGGTATTAAGAAGAAAGCATATTCCACATGAAAAGATGCTCGACATCATTAATCATCAAGGAAATGGAAACCAGCTCACACTTATCAGAATGGCCATCATCAAAAAGACAACAAATAAGTGTTGGCAAGGATGTGGAGAAAAGGGAACCTTCGTGCGCTGTTGCTGGGATTGTAAACTGGTGCAGCCACTATGGGAAATAGTAGGAGGTTCCTCAAAAAATTAATAAAACTACCATATGATCCAGCAATCCCACTTCTGGGTATTTACCCAAAGAAAATAAAAACACTAGTTTGAAAAGATATATGCACCCCTACGCTCACTGCAACATGATTTACAATAGCCAAGATATGGAAGCAACCTAAATGTCATTGATAGATGAATGGATAAAGAAGATGTGGTATATATATATATATACTGTTGGACTGTTGGACTGACCTCTAAGTCAGTATATATATATATGGAATGAAATACTACTCCGTCATAAAAAAGAATGAAATCTTGCCATTTGCGACAACATGGATGAACCTAGAGCGAAGTGAAATAAGTCAGATAGAGAAAGACAAATACCATATGATCTCACTTACATGTGCAATCTAAAAAACAAAACAAATGAACAAACAAAACAAAACAGAAAACAACTTAAAGATACAGAGAGCAAAATGGTGGTTGCCAGAGGGGAGGGGAGGTGGGAGGTTGGATAAAATAGGTGACAAGGGGGCTTCCCTGGTGGCGCAGTGGCTGAAAGTCCGCCTGCCGATGCAGGGGACATGGGTTTGTGCCCCGGTCCGGGAGGATCCCACATGCCGCAGAGAGGCTGGGCCCGTGAGCCATGGCCGCTAAGCCTGCGCATCCAGAGCCTGTGCTCAGGAGAGGCCACAACAGTGAGAGGCCCACGTACCGCAAAAAAAAAAAAAAAAAATAGGTGAAGAGGATTAAGAGGTAGTAACCTCCAGTTACACAATAAGTAAGTCACGGGAATGTAATATACAGCATAAGGAATATGGTCAATAACATTGTAATAACTTCGGAGCAGGTGGTTACTAGACTTATCATGGTGATCATTTCATTATGTATGCAAATGTCAAATCATTATGTTGTATACCTGAAACTAAGATAACATTGTACGTCAACAATATTTCAATTTAAAAAATAATGACTAAAATAAATGAAAGATCAAAAGTTTAAAAAAAGAAGAAGAAAGCAAATTCACTGATTTAGCTGAGTTCTTTGAGGGTGCCAAAGGGCAAATAGACCCTGGGGCCAACAGATAGAATTTATTTGGAGTTCAGAATGACTTCTGACAAGATTCTGAATTCAGAACTTTTATACTGACAAGATTCTGAATTCAGAGCTTTTATATTGCTACTGTTTAGTGGCCCTGAATGTGGTTGCCCAGCCCTGATTTATTTATAATCAGCCACAGCAGGGCAGTCAGCTATGCCTCTTGGATTTCTATTCACACAAGAACCAGAGTCCTAAATATGCAGAGGTTTTATCTTGCAGTAAGCAAAGGCCCCACTTGACAAGGAAACAAACAAAACAAAACAAAACTTAAGCATACGCCAAGTCTCATAAACATAGATTTTAGAGCTAGAAGAGAGCTGTTATGGATTGAATTGTGTCCCTCCAAAATTTATATATTGAAGTCTTAAACCCCAGTACCTCAGAATGTTACCTTATTTGGAAATAGGGTCATTGCAGATGTAATTGTTTAAGATAAGATGAGGTCAAACTGCAACAGGGTGGACACCTAATCCAATATGACTGGTGCCCTTATGAAAAGGGGAAATTTGAACACAGACATACATACAAGGGGAACTCCATGTGAAGATGAAGACAGCTGTCTACAGGCCAAGGAGGGAGGCCTGGACTAGATTCTCCACCATAGCCCTCAGTAGGAACCAGTACTGCCAGGACCTTGATTTCAGATTTCTAGGCTTGAGAACTGTGAGACAATAAATTTCTGTCATTTAAGTCACCCAGTTTGCAGTACCTTGTGACAGAAGCCCCAGCAAACTAATATAGGAGCTTAGAGGTCAGTCCAACAGTAGTAATCTCTTGGACGGTGCCCTGACAGCGGCCATCAACTCATTCTGAACATTTCCAGCCACAGGAAGTACACAGCTACATGATTCAGCCCTCAGATCTTGGTCCCTGACATGCAAATCAAACACTTAATTGCTGAGGGCACCGGCATAGTTGGGGCACCAAAAACATAAGAAAATTAGCAAACTTATCTAGAATTTTACAACCAGAAAAATCTCGTAAAAAGCTATTTTGGTTTTTAAATGCATATAAAATTTGAATTGTGTGGTCTAGAGGAGGGTGTTCAGCATAATCTTGTTAGTCTTTGGGGGTTCTAAAAAGTCTTAATTGGTTAGTTCTTTAATGAAAAAAGACTAGAAGGAAATAAGCCAAAATGTTAAACAGAGATTTTCTGGGGAGTAAATTGGGGTAGAAAATTATTATTATCTTCTTACATTTTGTAACTGTGTTTTTTAAATTTATATAATGAATATGTGTTGCTTGTGAATTTTTTAAAAATGAAAGGACATTCACCTTATTATTGAGTTAAGTCTCACTCCATAGAGTTTCAACTTTTGGGTCCCAATTCTCTCCTCTGGAGTTTCAAAGTAGACTCTAAACTTGTCCTACTGCTCATGAAGAGGCAAAGCAAAAGGAAAAGAATCTACATCTCCTTACCCTTCTGTTAAAGTTTTTCTGAAAAATATTATTGCCACATAGTAAAAGACTGACTGCCTTAGCATGATGTGCTAATTTTTTAAGACAATTTTTTAGAGTAGTTTTAGATTCACAGCAAAACTGAGAGGAAGGTACAGAGATTTCTCATAACCCCCTGCCCTTATACATGCATAGCCTCCCCTATTATCAACATTCTCCACCAGAGTGGTACATTTATTAGAACCGCTGAATCTACACTGATACACATAATCACCCAAAGTCCATAGTTTGCATTAGGTTTCACTGTTGATGTTGTACATTCTATGGGTTTGGACAAATGTATAAAGACAGGTATCCATCATACATGTATCGTAGAGTATTTTCATTGCCTTAAAAATCCTCTGTGCTCTACCTGTTCATGCCTCCTCACCCCAACTCCTAGCAACCATTGATCTTTTTATTGTCTTCATAGTTTTGCCTTTTCCAGAAAGTCCTATTGTTGGAACCATAGAGTATGTAGCCTTTTCAGATGGCTTCTTTCACTTAGTAATATGCATTTAAATTTCTTCCATGTCTTTTTCATGGCTTAATAACTCATTTCTTTTTAGCACTGAATAATATTCCATTGTCTGGAAGTACCACAGTTTATCCATTCATCTACTGAAAAACATCTTGGTTGATCGCTTCCAAGTTTTGGCAATTATGAATAAGGTATTATAAACATTTGTGTGTAGGTTTTTCATAAACAAAACAAACAGAAAACCTACAGAATGGGAGAAAATATTTGCAAATGATGTAACCGACAAGGGATTAATCTCCAAAATATACAAACAGCTCACACAGCTCAATATCAAAAAAACAAACAAACAAATCAAAAAATGGGCAGAAGACCTAAACAGACATTTCTCCAAAGAAAACATGCAGATGGCCAAAAGGTACATGAAAAGATGCTCAACATCGCTAATTATTAGAGAAGTGCAAATCAAAACTACAATGAGGTATCACCTCACACTGGTCAGAATGGCCATCATCCAAAAGTCTACAAATAATAAATGCTGGAGAGGGTGTGGAGAAAAGGGAACCCTCCTATGCTGTTGGTGGGAATGTAAATTGATGCAGCCACTGTGGAGAACAGTATGGAGGTTCCTTAAAAAACTAAAAACGAGCTACCATATGATCCTGCAATCACATTCTTGGGCATATATCCAGAGAATACCATAATTTGAAAAGATATATGCACCCCAGTGTTCACTGCAGCACTATTTACAATAGCCAAAACATGGAAGCAACCTAAATGTCCATCAACAGATGAATGGATAAAGAAGATGTGGTATATATATTCAATGGAATATTATTCAGCCATAAAAAAGAATGAAATAATGCCATTTGCAGCAACAATGGATTGACCTAGAGATTATCATACTAAGTGAAGTAAGCCAGATAAAGACAAATATCATATGACATCACTTGTATGTGGAATCTAAAAAAAACGATGATACAAATAAGCTTATATACAAAACAGAAATAGACCCACAGACACAGAAAACAAACTTATGGTTACCAAAGGGGAAAGAGAGGGGAGGAATAAACATATACACACTAATATATATAAAATACACACTACTATATATAAAATAGACAGACAGCAAGGATCTACTGTATAGCACAGGGAACTATACTCAATATTTTGTAATAATATATAAGGAAAAAGTATATATATATATATATAACAGAATCACTTTGCTGTACACCTGAAACTAACAGAACACTGTAAATCAAATATACTTCAGTTTTTAAAAAAATCCATGTGTAGGTTTTTGTGTGGACATAAGTTTTGAACTCCTTTGGGTAAATATCAAAGAGAGTGATTGCTGGGTCATATGGCAAGAGTATGTTAGTTTTGTAAGAAACCGCCAAACTGTCTTCCAAAGTGGCTATGTACCATTTCGCATTCTCAACAGCAATGAATGAGAGTTCCTGTTGCTCCATACCCTTGCCAGCATGTGGTGTTGTCAGTGTTCCAAATATTGGCGAATTAATAGGTTTGTAGTGGTATCACATTGTTGTTTTAACTTGCATTTCCCTGATGACATAGGATGTGGAGCATCTTTTCCTATGTTTATTTGCCATTTGTATATCTTCTTTGATAAGGTGTCTGTTATGATCTTTGGCCCATTTTTTAATCAGGCTGTTTTTTTTCCCTACTGTTGAGTTTTAAAAGCTCTTCGTATATTCTGGATAATAGTTCTTTATCTGATGTGTCTTTTGCAAATATTTTCTCCCAGTCTGTGGCTTCTCTTCTCATTCTCCTGAGACATGCTAATTTTTTAACCCAATATTTATATTCATATATATATATATATATCTCACAATTCAATGAATATTGTTGAACTTCAGGTCTGTCACTTCTCCAGTTGCTGACTCATGGTAGGGGCTCAAAAAATTACTAAATGGGATGTAAATATGGGGTTGTAAATTGTGCAGTCCAAGAACAGACTTGAACCACTACTTTCTGGAGAGAAAGTTCATAGATGAGGCTTAGTAAACTCAGTAAAAATTTGAAAAGGCAGGAGATTTATATTAACGTAGGTAGATAGAGTAGACTATAATAAACACCAGACAATGCTCATTAACGCATTCTAATTAATGCTATGCTTGATTCTTGGGGATCTACCTATTTAAGATTTGCTGACTTTATTATTTTTAAGGGATGACTGCAGGTAGCCTGGGAAAATCAGCTGTCACAAGGGGACTGATGACCTATAGGAAGTCAGGATAAGCGAGTGATGAGGACTCTGAAGTATTACTTTGAAAGATCAGACACACCTTCCTTTCTTTGTCTCCAAAATATGAAATGCATTTTGTAAAAAATACAGTAAATAAATTTCATTCATATTTTAATCATGCAACTTACCTCATCAATGAGACTTGATTCAAAATACTGATAGGCAATACTGAGAGCAAGCTTCAGCCATATTTTATATTCCAGGGATGGCCAGAAGACATCAAAGCCTTCATATAAATCCTCCAGGGAGATAAAGCAAGCCTGAAATGACAAGGTATCAAACAGTATGCTTGATTTGAAACTAAATTACAAGACCATCAGAAAAAAAAAAAATGCCTGTAGATTTCATCTTCACCTAACCTCCTAGAAAAAACTATCAACTCTAGTATAGTAATTATGATACTCTGCCGTTTAAGCATAAGATGATAGAATGTACAGTCCAATTAAAGCTATAGACTTAAAAACAGGCCAGGAAACTTTATACCAATCAATAGGTAGGATAATCATGAGCCCAAGATTAAGGAACTAAGCCACATAAACTTATCTATTTTTATTGTCACAGTAGGTCACGTTGGCTCATTCATAGTATTTGTTTCCAGCAAAGTGACAATCCAAATAAGGAAGACAACTCTTTCAGAACTCACTGAAGTTCATTTACCTGAAATTCAGTGAATTCAATTCAGCCTTGTGAATACATTCATGCCTTCTATCCTCTTCCAAAAATGAAATGGTATGAAACTGATAAGGTGACATTCCTTTCTGTTTGTCACACTCCTAAGACTCTGGACACTGCTCTGTTGCATCTATCAGTCCCAAAAGCTTGAAAATTTTTTGTAAGTGGGAACTTTCACTAATTTCAATTTGAATCGCCCACAGCTAGTGCAATATCAGGCCATTTATTTGTTAAATAAACTTCTTATTTAGCAAGTGAAAAATGGAAGACAGAGGGTTGAAACACAAGTATACTTTAAAAACACCACTCTCATTATGGTGGCCATTTATTGAGCATCTAAACATGCCAGGCATTTTACATATATATTTTCCTTATCTTCATAACATCAAAAGTTAGATATTTTCTCTTTTAATAAAAAAAACTGGCATAGTCTCCTTGGTTAAAATATCAGCCTCCAGATCCCATAGCAGATGTGAGACACTAAACTGGCCTCTCTCAGCTAGTCTACACCTGCTTCACAGTAGCTGGTTGGGTGACTAAATAAGATATCAGAACCCAGAGGAACAAAGATGCTGGCACTCCTTATTGACTTGAGGAAGAATTAACTAACAACTCACAATATATACTGAACCAGTTTCTTACCTGTAAAATAGTTTCACAGATGGCAGTATATTCAATTTCACACTTAAGCAGACAGCTCAACTCTCCAATTATGTCTCCACTAGTACAGTACTCTGTAAACCTGGTCGCGGACTCTCTATCAGCCCTTAGGCTCCTGTCTATTCCAAAGGTAGGAGGTGAACTCTGCAGCTGCAAAGGGGAAAAAATTGTGCCAAGGGAAATATAAAATTAAAAGCCCTTGACCAAACCCCAGGAGCTCCCAGTTTTTCTTGCAATTATTACAATGGAAGGAAAACATTCTTTATGAATCCTTTCAGGTGTAAAGGAGGAATTAGGCTTCACAAGAATCATGGTTTCTTTCACATTTCAACTCTCCAAGGCAAGATTGTTTCTAATTTTTAGCTTTACAGATGACCCCTATTTACCTCCCTTGTATAAAAATTCTACCAAAAGTAGTCATTGCAGTCTGCCACTAATGCCACTCTATTAGATATTAGCATAATATCTATTAGATATTCTTAGCATAATAGGCTAGTGTCTCAGGTGGAAAAAACTTCTGGTTGCATGGATGCATAAATTGGATATCATGAATTAATATGCCTCCAAACCAAGCCGTGATTTCAGTAGAAGCCTTGCTTCCCTGAAGATGCTTAAGAATAATTACCATGAGACATTAACAGGAAAAGGTTTTAGGATGAACACAGGATGGTTGGGTTACTTCAGGAAAAGAACTGGTAGGTGTAGGTGGGGGTAAAGAAAGGTATCAGATTTCAGGAGGAAGATGCGGGAATCAACCAGAAGGATTACACAACTTTCCAGAAAGTTTAGCTGTAAATATCAAAGAGGAAAGCTACTGTTCAAGACACAGGAAACGGAAAAAAGGTCCCTGAAGGAGTTGCTATGAAAACTGTACCCTCTCCTAGTGATTATCATTCAAACTTTCAGAGGCATTCATGCTTCCAAAGGACTTGATTTTTTTTAATTTAATTTTGAATGCAATTCAAAGGCCTTTTGAGTAATCAAGAATGTCTCTGCTTTTTTGCAAACCAAGGAAAGGGGATAACATCTGTGGTAAGCAGAATTCTAAAGAAATCCTTCCAAGATTCCTGTCTCTTTGCTATTCAATCAAACATTTATCTATGAACTGCTGTGAAGGGATTTTGCAGATAGAATTCAGGATACTGCTAATCAGCTAAACTTAAAGAGATGATTCTGGATTATCCTGTTGGGCCCAATGTAATCACATGAGCCCTCAAAAGTAGAAGGGGGAATAGCTGTCAAAGATTGGTGGCGGGGGGGCGGGTGGTGGTGGTGGAAATGAATTGATTTCTCTGTCCATTAGTTTTCCACCTTACATGAGGTTGATGTAAGGATTCAATGTCATAACATATTGCCATTCTCGACCACCCTTTTAAATGTCACAATTAGCCATCTTCATCTCTCCATCACCGCTAACATACTATATATTTAACTTAGGTATTTTGTCCATTGTCCCATCTCCTTCTATGCCTCTACTAGAAATTAAACTCTAAGAAGACAGCGATTTTTGTTTTTGTTGATTCTATGCCTAGAATGAGCAGTGCCTGCTGCATGATAGTAATGAAGTAAATATTTGTTGAATGAATGAGTGAATGGATGAATGGAAAGTGCCTGACACTTAATAAACTCTATACATGTGTTAGTATTTATTATAATAGTTTATTTCCATGATTAATTTTGGTATTTTTAAGGTCTGAAACACCCATTCCAAAAATAGAAAGCCAAATATATTATTTGCACTGTAATAAGGGTTTGTCACTTGTAACTGTCATCTAGGATCTAGGAATTATGTTGGTCATAGCTAGGGCTCACCCATGGATTCAGCTACTAGTATTCAGTTTCTAAAGGATTCTTGTCCCTATCATTCTACTGACACCAAAAGCCTCCTACTGGTTAAAAATTGTATGATTTTCATCCTATCTGACCTCTGGGAGAATCTGATGTTGTGGTCTATTTCCTCATTCTTGACACTCATTTCCTTTAGGTGAGTAACCCAACCACTCCAAGTATTGGGTTCCTTATCTGAACGTCGAAAAGACTGTTCCTCCCAGGACTGTTGTGAGGAATAAATAATAATTATGAAAGCATTTTGTAAGATGGGAAGCACCTTTCGGATGGTGGGTATTATAATTATCTCTCAGCTGTAGTGTTCACTCTGAACAGAAATGGTTTTATCTGGAAAACAAATTATGTTAAAAATTTCAAAATATCTTAGTTCCTAAATTTCTCCTTATGTGATAATTACGTATTTCAAAGTACATTTTCAGTAAATAATAAATAATCCCTTACGATCGCCATTCCTGAAATAATTAAGTAGATTCCTTGTGGCATTTCACCTTCTTTACAAATGACATCTCCATAGTCAAAACAGGCAAGTTTGGCTCTTTCCTGAAAGAAAAAAAAAAAAAGAAGAAAAGAAAAGGAAAGAAAAAGAATTAACACAAATCTTTACAGTCTACTTCTCTAAATAGAAATAAATTTAAAAGCATAAAAACAAACTATATTCTCTGGTTTCTTAATGAATTACAACATTTTTGCATATCTCATTAAATTTTAGGTAAAAAAGGGACAAGCAAGCAAATTGTAGACTTTTGCTTAGGACCTAGCAGAGTGGTAGAAACACCCAATAAATGCTAGGTTGGATAATGGTTACAATAAAGTGTAATAATTCTGATCAGGAGACAGGGGCATGGCACTCTGGGAAAAAAATTCAGAAAGGTCACAGGACCCTGTCTTGGGTGTCCAGGGGAGACTACACAGAGGAAGGAACAGCTAAGCTGAGACCTGAAGGAAGAGTAACAGATAGCCAGGATACGATGAGTTGATGACCATTTACGGCAGAGGATTCAGTTTAAGCAAAGACCCAGAAGTAAACAGAATAACTGCACTGGGGGTAATCACAGAAGATTCAATACATCTCAGGCAGGCAAGGAGGGGTGGAGACCGGGGCTGCGTTATCCATTAGGCATCAATAGGCACAGTGTCCAGGGTTCACAATACTTTTCGGGATTTACAACAATGTTTTAGTTTCTTTTAAAATCAGAAGAAAATAAAAGAACTTTTAGGTAGAGTAAAATGTCTTAATACTAAAACATCTAATACTAATATATTCATCTTTATACTAACACGATCATAAAGTATAATTTTTTTAGTGCTTTTTTACGGAGGAAAAGGCAGAAGTGCCTGGGGCCCAGCAAAGTCATATTGCAGCCCAGGTGGAGGCAGGACTGGAGAGGTGAGCCGAAGCCAGGTCTCCAAGGGGCTCACAGGCACGGTAAAAAGTCTGGGCTTTTCCCAAAACCAGGGGCTAGCCACTAAAAGGTTTGTAACAGGAGAATTATGGTGACAGATTTGCATTTTACAAAGATGTGTGGGAAACATACTTTTAAGTCATGCATAGTAGTTATCTCGAAGTGTGGGGTGGGGAGTGAAAGGTTTTCACTTTTCGCTTCTGATTTATTTTACAGTGTAGAAATAAACATGCATGACTTCACAATATTTTTTTTAAAAGCTCACCTAAAGCCAATTATCCCCCTTATGTATTATTCAGACCTTTTTTTTTTTTTTTTTGGCAGGTGCCATTCTTTTTTTTTTTAATACAGCAAGTTTTCATTAGTTATCGTTTTTTTAAACATCTTTATTGCAGTATATTTGCTTTAGAGTGTTGTGTTAGTTTCTGCTGTATAAAAAAGGGAATCAGTAATATACATACATATATCCCCATATCCCCTCCCTCTTGCGTCTCCCTCCCACCCTCCTTATCCCACCCCTCTAGGTGGTCACAAAGCACTGAGCTGATCTCCCCGTGTGATGCAGCTGCTTCCCACTAGCTATCTATTTCATATTTGGTAGTGTATACATGTCAATGCTACTCTTTCACTTCGTCCCATCTTACCCTACCCCCTCCCCCTGTCCTCAGGTCCATTCTTTATGTCTGTGTCTTTATTCCTGTCCTGCCCCTAGGTTCATGAGAACCATTTTTTTTTTTTAGATTCCATATATATGTGTTAGCACATGGTATTTGTTTTTCTCTTTCTGACTTACTTCACTCTGTATGACAGACTCTAGGTCCATCCACCTCACTACAAATAACTCAATTTCATTTCTTTTTATGGCTGAGTGATATTCCACTGTATATATGTGCCACATCCTCTTTATCCATTCATCTGTTGATGGACAGTTAGGTTGCTTCCATGTTCTGGCTAATGTAAATAGTGCTGCAATGAACACTGTGGTACATGACCCGTTTTTTAAAAATTTATTTATTAACATCTTTATTGGAGTAAAGTTGCTTTACAATGGTGTGTTAGTTTCTGCTGTTATAACAAAGTGAATCAGCTATACATAAACGTATATCGCCGTATCTCCTCGCTCTTGCGTCTTCTTCCTACCCTCCCTATCCCACCCCTCTAGGTGGCATGACCCTTTATAATTATGGTTTTCTCAGGGTATATGCCCAGCAGTGGGATTGCTGGGTCATATGGTAGTTCTATTTGTAGTTTTTTTAAGGAACCTCCATACTGTTTTCCACAGTGGCTGTATCAATTTACATTCCCACCAACAGTGCAAGAGGGTTCCCTTTTCTCCACACCCTCTTCAGAATTTACTGTTTGTAGAATTTTTGATTATGGCCATTCTGACCAGTGGGAGGTGATACCTCACTGTAGTTTTGATTTGCATTTCTCTAATGATTACCGATGTCAAGCATCTTTTCATCTGTTTATTGGCAATCTGTATACCTTCTTTGGAGAAATGTCTATTTAGGTCTTCTGACCATTTTTGGATTGGGTTGCTTGTTTTTTTGATATTGAGCTGCATGAGCTGCTTGTATATTTCGGAGATTAATCCTTTGTCAGCTGCTTCATTTGCAAATATTTTCTCCCATTCTGAGGGTTGTCTTTTCACCTTGTTTACGGTTTGTTTGCTGTGCAAAAGCTTTGAAGTTTCATTAGGCCCAATTTATTTTTGTTTTTATTTCCATTTCTCTAGGAGGTGGGTCAAAAAGAATCTTGCTGTGATTTATGTCACAGAGTTCCGCCTATGTTTTCCTCTAAGAGTTTTATAGTGTCTGGCCTTTCCTTTAGGTCTTTAATCCATTTTGAGTTTCATTTTGTGTATGGTGTTAGCAAGTGTTCTAATTTCATTCTTTTACATGTAGCTGTCCAGTTTTCCCAGCACCACTTACTGAACACGCTTTCTTTTCTCCATTGTATACTCTTGCCTCCTTTATCAAAGATAACGTGACCATATATGCGGGGGTTTATTTCTAGGCTTCTATCCTGTTCCATTGATCTATATTTCTGTTTTTGTGCCAGTACCATACTGTCTTGATTACTGTAGCTTTGTAGTATAGTGTGAAGTCAAGGAGCCTGATTCCTCCAGCTCCGTTTTTCTTTCTCAAGACTGCTTTGATCATTCAGGGTCTTTTGCATTTCCATACAAATTGTGCAATTTTTTGCTCTAGTTCTGTGAAAAATGCCATTGGTAGTTTGATAGGATTGCATTGAATCCGTAGATTGCTTTGGGTAGTACAGTCATTTTCACAATGTTGATTCTTACAATCCAAGAACATAGTATATCTCTCCATCTGTTTGCATCATCTTTAATTTCCCTCATCAGTGTCTTATAGTTTTCTGCATATAGGTCTTTTGTCTCCTTAGGTAGGTTATTCCTAGGTATTTTATTCTTTTTGTTGCAATGGTAAATGGGAGTGTTTCCTTAATTTCTCTTTCAGATTTTTCATCATTAGTGTTTAGGAATGCAAGAGATTTCAGTGCATTAATTTTGTACCTGCTACTCTACCAAATTCATTGATTAGCTCTAGTAGTTTTCTGGTAGCATCTTTATGATTCTCTATGTGTAGTATCATGTCATCTGCAAACAGTGACAGTTTTACTTCTTCTTTTCTTATTTAGATTCCTTTTATTTCTTTTTCTTCTCTGATTGCCATAGCTAAAACTTCCAAACTATGTTGAATAATAGTCGTGAGAGTGAGCAACCTTGTCTTGCTCCTAATCTTAGAGGAAATGGCTTCTGTTTTTCACCATTGAGAGTGATGTTGGCTGTGGGTTTGTCATATATGCCTTTATTATGTTCAGGTAGGTTCCCTCTATGCCTACTTTCTGGAGAGTTTTTACCATAAATGGGTGCTGAATTTTGTTGAAAGCTTTTTCTGCATGTATTGAGATTATCATATGATTTTTATTCAATTTGTTAATATGGTGTATCACATTGATTGATTTGCATATATTAAAGAATCCTTGCATCCCTGGGATAAACCCCACTTGATCATGGTGTATGATCCTTTTAATGTGCTGTTGGATTCTGTTTGCTAGTATTTTGTTGAGGATTTTTGGATCAATGTTCATCAGTGATACTGGCCTGTAGTTTTCTTTTTTTGTAACACCTCTGTCTGGTTTTGGTATCAGGGTGATGGTGGCCTCATAGAATGAGTTTGTGAGTGTTCATCCCTCTGCTATACTTTGGAATAGTTTCAGAAGGATAGGTGTCAGCTCTTCTCTAAATGTCTGATAGAATTCGCCTGTGAAGCCATCTGGTCCTGGGCTTTTGTTTGTGGGAAGATTTTTAATCACAGCTTCAATTTCAGTGAAATGGAAATTTCAATTGAAAATTCAATTTCAGTGTGACTGGTCTGTTTATGTTTCCTATTTCTTCCTGGTTCAGTCTCAGAAGGTTGTGGTTTACTAAGAATTTGTCTATTTCTTTCACTTTGTCCATTTTATTGGCATATTGTTGCTTGCAGCAATCTCTCATGATCATTCATATTTCTGCAGTGCAGTCGTTACTTCTCATTTTTCATTTCTAATTCTGTTGATTTGAGTCTTCTCCCTTTTTTTCTTGATGAGTCTGACTAATGGTTTATCAATTTTGTTTACCTTCTCAGAGAACCAGCTTTTAGTTTTGTTGATCTTTTCTACTGTTTCCTTCATTTCTTTTTCATTTATATCTGATCTGATCTTTATGATTTCTTTCCTTCTGCTAACTTTGGGGGGTTTTTTTGTTGTTGTTCTTCTTTCTCTAATTGCTTTAGGTGTAAGGTTAGGTTGTTTATTTGAGATGTTTCTTGTTGCTTGAGGTAGGATTGTGTTTCTAGAAACTTCCCTCTTAGAACTGCTTTTGCTGCCTCCCATCGGTTTTGGGTCATTGTGTTTTCATTGTCATATATTTCTAGGTATTTTTTTATTTCTTCTTTGATTTCCTCAGTGATCTCTTGGTTATTTAGTAGCATATTATTTAGCATCCATGTGTGTGTATTTTTTTACAGTTTTTTTCCTGTAATTGACGTCTAGTCTCATAGCGTTGTGGTCAGAAAAGATACCTGATAAGATTTCAATTTTCTTAAATTTACCAAGCCTTGATTTGTGACC